TGGGTCTAGGCTTGCTAACCTGATGTTGAGGTGATTTTCCTGGTTTCCTATGTTTTATCCTGGCTGGGTTCTTAGAACAAGGCAAACCAAATTGCTGGCAAAAGTTTCCTAAATCCTTACGATTTTGGGCTTTTTCTTTTGCTAATTGTTTTTGGATGTTATCATCCTGACAAATTTTTAGGGCCACTTTCTGGACATAAGCTATGAGATTTCCATAACTTAGTTGGCCATAAGGGATGTCGCCATTGAACTGGGTACGAATTTTTTCTCTAACCTTGTCTCCTAAGGATTTTGGGAGTCCGGCTAGAAACTTTTCTTTCCAGAAAGGTTGGTTACTATCATCCCTGGTGTAAACTCTAGTGAGAAAGGTGTCTTTGTACCACCTAAAATCTCCTAAGGTTCTACATTTAAGATTGGATAGGAGTTCTCCAGAACGGTCTTTCCAGATATTAGGATCTCCTATGAAGTGTTTGACAATGACCATAATAAGGGTGTTAACAGCATCGGGAATAGGTTCTCCCTTTTGGATGATGACATTACCCTCAACATCAGTCTTGACAGCAGTGATAATTTCATGTTTCTCTTCATCAGAAACATAATTATCCCACCATCCTTTAAGTTGTCCAGAAAACCCAGACGTTAGTATTTCAACAATGGCTTCATCTGCACTATCTAAAGCTGTTTGGTAGGCTGTAGAAACCATGGTCATGTGTTGGAGAGTATTAAGAATATTATACTCGGTCAAGCCATCTATATTCCATTCATAGATGTTGGTTGCACTGAATGACCGAAAACTTTGATCATTCTTTTCTTTAAGCAAAAGGTCAGGGGCTGTAGCCCGATTGTAGTAAAGCTTTGAAGGTTGCTTCCAGATAAGCGCCTTATTGATAACAGGATTAACCCTAAGAACGGATTTTCTGCTAGGCTCAGTATCATCGGAATCAGAACCTAAGGACGACGTTCCTATCTTATTAATCCTAAGAGATTGGTCTTTCTGAGAGACGCTCCTAGTAACCGGACCAGTCTTAACAGAATCAGCCTAGGAGGTACTAGGGGTTTCAGGAATGACAATAGAGTTGTCCTTACTGGAGTCTTCTAAAGACTTAGTCCAATTTTGGTGGATGGCTCTAAACTTATGCCTAGTTTGACTAGTTAAACTAGTAGGTTTGAACAAAGGTTTAGTCACAAATTGGGCTTCACTATCCTTAGTTCTGGAGGTAAAAGCTTTACTAACTAGGTTTTCTCCTAAAACTTGGAGATACTTGTTAGTATAATTGTTTTGTTCCATAAGAGCCTTAATATCCTGGGCTCCTACAGATTCATCAGAATTATACTTAAAAGGTGAAGCCAAATACTTATCTTCTAAGTTTGGGATAAAATAACTACTATTTGGGAGGAGATCCGACTTAACAAGTTTCCCATCTTTACGGTGCCAAACAGTAATGGTATTAACAGAAAGATCTTCTGTGATTGTGGTAATCCAAGGTGGACTAATCTTATTTCTACGAGGGTAAACATTAAACCAATCGAAGAAACAAACATGAGTTTGGACGTTTTCAAGGAAAGTATAATATTTAGATACCTCTGAATAATATATATTTTCTGCTAGGATTAACCCTAAGTCTTTAGAAGACTCCAGTAAGGACAACTCTATTGTCATTCCTGAAACCCCTAGTACCTCCCAGGCTGATTCTGTTAAGACTGGTCCGGTTACTAGGAGCGTCTCTCAGAAAGACCAATCTCTTAGGATTAATAAGATAGGAACGTCGTCCTTAGGTTCTGATTCTGATGATACCTCTGGTATCAGAGCCTGATGGGGAAGTAGGAATTTATGGCTGGATCTAATTTGCTTATAATATTTAAATTATGCTGTAAGGTTATTTTGTTGATGGATATATACTCTAACCTTTACCCATATCTTTTCAATTATGGTTGTATTTTCTATTCTGTTCTTGTACATTTTGTGTTACATTTCTTGGTTAAGCAAAGATCTATGGTGTTTCTAGATCCATGGTGCTTCTGGAATGGGGCGTGGAGGCAGTAAGACCTATGGAAAGGCAGTAAGTCCAGGATGTTTATACGCTGATCGTAGATCATCATGGATATTAGGTCATCATACATATTTGCCTGATCAGAACGTTTGTAAAGTTTCTTTATAAAATGGTTTATAGGCTGGACAACTCTGGATCTTCTGGTTCAGAAGAGTGTTGTGAACACCCCCAGAGAGACTTGTCACTAAGTCGCAACGATGCCACGAACTAAACAAAAAAAAAGAAAAAAAAAAGTTTTTTGGGTAAAAGTCAGTTTATGTTCCACAACTAATTGATAATCTTATAGGATGATTTTGTGTTAAAATTGGATTAGATCCTGTTATAACTTTTTTACTGAACTATATGATGGCGATGATATTTGGAGGGTTAATTCATTGCTTGTTTTCACCATCTTTTTGCTCCCTTCCTCTCTTTTCTATCTTCCCAGTCATGTTTAATTCCTTTGTCTCAAAGTTTTCTTGCAAATCGTCCACTCCTGGATCTTCATCGCTCTCTGAGCAACAATCAAAACCCCAATCTTCAAACATTTTCAATGAAGAATTTTGTTTTGAAAACCACAATCAGGAGCTTGATGATTGACAGCTCCCAAAAGTCTCTGCCAGTGAAATCTACAAACTTGATGGTAAATGGTTTAAGCAAACCGATTATATTGTCAAAACCACTGAAAAACAAATTCCCCTCTCTAATGAGGAAGAAGAATTCCATCTTCTTGATGAACAATCTCTTGTTGAACAAGCCAAAAAATACAACTACCTTCATATCGGTTGTATTCAAGTAGCCATCAAACCCTTAGGAATCGAAGGTCTAGATAGCTCTATCCTTTGTTGTCTTCGTGATCTTAGACACCTTAGGTTTAATCAATCTCTGATAGGAACTGTTGAGACCTCCCTTGCTAAAGGTCCTATCTTTTTCAATTGTTTCCCCAATCGTACTATCAGCCTCAAAGATCGCAACATCCTTGATGCTCTTTATCTTCAAATCCAAACCAAAGGATTACATATGAAACCAGGATCTATCCCTTTGCGCTCATCTATAGGGTTCAGTACAAGGTTATGAACTCTATTAGCTCAAAAGTTTACAAACCTCCTGAAGTAGGAACAACCACCCTTTTCCTTACAGACTTTAGTAAGGCTAACGTAGTTGTCCCTGTTTCTATCAAATGGGAAGATGTTACTCTCCTTGATAGTTGGACGGTAACTAAGGCAGTAACCCCTGCACCTAGACCAACCCCTGAGATTCAGGAAATCAACCAACACCCAGCCGGTGAAGTTACTATCACCTTCAACCGACGCAATTCTTTTTCATCTTTTAGATCCAATTCTGTTAGATCTGATAATTTTAGATCTGCTAGAAGATCCTTCTCTGCTGCCCATTCAACGTTTAACCTCCAAGGATTAGACAACTCATCTACTATTCCCAGAACAATCTACAGTAGGAATGAGGACGAAACTTCAACTGAAATTCACTCTCCTACCCAATCTGAAATGCAGTATGGTCAACCATGAATAGGTACACCATTGATAAGCCTACCCTTCATAAGGAATTCTACTCTGGGGAATGGACATCCCAGAGACAATGGTTTCTTAATAATTTTAAGGGTGACCTTAGGTCAAAGATCATAGACTCGTTCTATACTTTCCTTGAAAACGTCCAAACTCATGTTTGTTTCTTCGATTGGTTTAATGTTTACCTTCGTAGAAATAAGATTAGTCCACCTTGGATTACCACAATCACAGAAGATCTTTCTGTTAATACCATTACTGTTTGGCATCGTAAAGATGGGAAACTTGTTAAGTCAGATCTCCCCCCAAATAGTAGTTATTTTATCCCAAACTTAGAAGATAAGTATTTGGCTTCACCTTTTAAGTATAAGTTTGATGAATCTGTAGGAGCCCAGGATATTAAGGCTCTTATGGAACAAAACAATTATACTAACAAGTATCTCCAAGTTTTAGGAGAAAACCTAGTTAGTAAAGCTTCTACCTCCGGAACTAAGGATAGTGAAGCCCAATCTGTGACTAAACCTTTGTTCAAACCTACTAGTTTAACTAGTCAAACTAGGCATAAGTTTAGAGCCATCCACCAAAATTGGACTAAGTCTTTATATATATATATATATAAGGAAACGTCCAAACTCATGTTTGTTTCTTCTATTTATTTATTTCTCTTCTTTCTTATATATATATATATATATATATATATATATATATATATAAGGAGGGATCCGATTATTCGAGGAGTGACTGTACCTAAATTTATTTTGTTTAATAACCCATGTTTTATATACAATTTCAATAATCTAACCATTAAATTTAAAATTTTTAATGCATAGATCAATTTTGTAATTTTTTTTTAAAAAACATTGAAAACCATTTGATATTTCATATCATAAATTCAAATCAACATATAAAATGCTTTTATGTTATTCGTCAATTGAATTAATGTTCAAATTTTTTAAAAATTTGTAAATGTGATCTATGCATTAAGGACTTTAAATTCAACGGTTGAATTGTTGAAATTTGATGTAGAATATGAGTTATTAAATGAAGTAAATTTAAATAAATTTACTCTTAAAGTAAATGAATCTCTCATCTCTATATGTATAGTCTAAACATAGCTACAAAGGAGGAGAAAAATCTATGATCTAGGATACCTATACAATAGGTACATACAACAAAAATCAGCTTATAAAAACTGTACGGTAAACATGACGTCAATCTATATGTATAGTCTCTTTTTCTCATTTTTTTCTCTTTTGTATGAGGCTATGATCATGGGTTTAGTAACATTTATTTTAAAAGCATATTTTCACTTAAGAATCATATGCCCTACATTTATATTCAAATTTGCATGTTACTTCAGTTTTTTAAAGAAAATAAAATTGTTATGCTATGAAAAACATATTGCAATATTATGTATGATTCCAATGTATTTTCTTTTATTTAATAGGTCAATGGTGTTGATTTGACTGAGATTCAAGGTGGTGAAATTGCAATTACTAATTTGCATTCTAGCAATGGTCCTGAGTTTGTTTTCCAACTTCACCTTTCCTTAGTACGGGGCAATGATGGCATCAAAAGTGCAAGTAAACTTTTAAAACTCCATGAACTAATTCATACAGATAGTGAGATATATGATATGATATGTCGCTATATCGTTATGTCAAACGTTTATAACAATAATTCTTTCTCTCCAATTAACTGTAAAGAAATGTGAAAGCAAGGTTTATTTAAATTATTGTATTTTAGGTTCAAAAGACTTCCAAGAAGCTAATGCACGCTTGAGGTTTGTGTATCTCCCATTCACAAAGGTAACAGGCACAACATTCACTTCCCATTTATTCTAAGGACCTATTTTGATAAACTTTTCTATAAATCCTCATAAGAGAAAAACAATAAGAAGAAAAAATAAAATACATAATCTAAAAAATAACTTATCATAAGTAAATTTGTAGAAACCCTCTCATATTGATATTAGCTTTTTCAAAAACTTGTTTTTAACTTGTGCATAAATTAATTTTCGCCTATGGAAAATATTATTTCAATTTTTCATTTTATTTTCTTCTCTTATGGTGCTTGTAAAAATATTATCCAAACAAGCCCTAAATCTCAATTTCAAGGTCAATCCAATAAATTTGTATGTTCCAGGGAAAGGAGAATATAGAGAGGATTTTGGAAATGTTATCTGCTGATGGCTTTGTAATAAGAGAAAACTTCCAAAGCTTCAGTCGTGTCTCTGTTAGGAGGCTTGGTCGTCTTCTTCCAGATTCTCGTTGGGTAAACTTCCAACCTTGGCTTTTAACTTGTAAAGGAAATTTCTTCTGTACTAAGGTTCTAGTAGCCGTTTCCTTATTATTTTTAAAGCTATACAATTACTTTACGGTGCAATGCAAAAAAGATTTCTTCGTAGTTTTCATCCAGTGTTTTTGATGTGAGCTTGTACAATTGTACAATTGTACAATTATTATACTTTAACCTAGTAGAAAATAGAAATATTGTAAATAAGATACCAGATATGTCTCTGACATGGGAGCACAACGTAATATAAAAATTATAGGACATGACACAACTATAATCTAAAATATAAAATCAATCTACAATTAACATAAAATGAAAATTTTAATCACAAGAGAGAATTCATGTTCTCTAAATGAGCACAAGTTATTATCCAAGTATTTGAAGTATCTATGTAGTGTCTTGCTTGTTGGCATAAACTTGAGCTTTTGTAGAAGCTGTCTTGGATTTAAGAGCAGGAGCAGGCTTACGCAAGCACAACTAATGGAAAGAAAATTTGATTGTTCTAATTTGGTGTTAAATCCTTATACATTTCCTTTTGTTTTTGTTCATATTGATTAATTTTATTGGTGTGGACATTTTCTTATGTTTTTTTTTTTTTTTATATCTTTTAATCATCTCGATTTAATGATTTCTGTTGAATTGTATTTTAAATTTTGGACAGACTTTACTTCCTTTTATGGACTTAAGGAACAAAAGGGGAACGAAGGCTGAAATATTGAAGAGATGTTCCCTGAGGGTGAAATGCTTCATTGGTAATAATAGTAGTGATATGTCACCATATTTTTCATTATAACTATCTGATTGTTTGTTTGGTCTTCTGAGTCAGATTTTGTAATTTGCAGAAACTGATGGAGGCTTTAAACCAACACTGTCCAAGGTTAGTCTAGCAATAATTGAACATCTTTGTAAATAAATGTTATTATGCTTACTATACTATTGTTATTTTTACATTTCTGTCTCTGATAGTTAAGCAATTTTATCTTGAGTTTAAACTAATTATCTGGACTATAAAATGATCTCAACCCAGATTAGTAAATGACTGACTTTTCTTGATGCACATCAGATGGTTGTTGATTAGTTTGATATAGTGGTTAAATGTTATTTAGAACCAACCAACCCATTCGTTATGTTTTATTGTCAACTAAAATTCGAATTGGAGCTATTAACTATTATTTCATGCTTGATTTGTACACTTTATTGTACCACTATATATGTTTACCTTTATTATGTGGCAGTAATTTACTCTATTTTTTAATTTTATTACACAACCTTCAGTACTTGAAAAAATTAAATTGTTTATAGATATTCAATAGAATATTGCAGAAATAGGTTGTTTTCCATGTATGGAGTTAGAACCTTCTAGGTTTGGCCATATGGTGTATTCGGTTTTATAAAATGAGTTGAATTATAGCCTAATATTTTCCCTTTCTGCCAGTTGTTTTAATAAGTATTTGTGCAAACTATGTAACTTGCAAAATATATGGTTCAAGAATCAATCGACCCCAGGAAAGCCGTTAACTTTCATTAACTTGCACACTTTTTTTTTTTTTTTTTTAATCTCTATTGGTTGTATATTATGTGTGTACTTATAAAGACAGTATTTACTGAAAAAAAAAAAACTTGTGAAGAGAGTCTTATGTTCAGCTACACATTGACATACTTTTTTCACTTGTGCTTATTTGTGTACACTTGAAAGCATGGTTGAGTAAAATGGAAAACAGGATATAACTATGGATAATTAGATAAAGAAGCAGTTGGTCTGTTTTATTATTTAGGAGTGTGCAATAAAATCTGGTCTTTTATTTACTTGTTCTTGATTTAACTGTCATCGATAAACTTTTGGGTTTTCAGACTGATCTAGCTCACCACAATCCTTTCACTACTGCTCTGAAGAATTTAGGCAATAAAATTTCAGAAAAAGAGAAGGGTATTTTCGTCCGTTAATTCTGATAACACTTTTCAACTTTATTGTCATGGTTATTGGATTCTAACTCATCATTTTTTTAAAATCAGATGTTACTGTTGTAATTCAGAAGTCTACAAAAGTGTTAAATCTTTCGCAGCTGGAAAGGGAGTATCAGGAGTGGATATTACAAATGCATAGTCAGTATGATGAAGAAACTGATTCTGGCGAGGATCAACCAGTTATAATAGTCGGTCCAGCAAATAAAAAGGCACTTGGCATCTCCTCAGATTGTACGAGTCAATGAGTGAAGGATTTTAATGGCAGTCATCCATTTCCCCCCGCCCCCAAATAATGATCTTAGCTTTATGGTATTTCAAACGAATCAAACCAGGGTTTTGAAGAAATGCAGTTATCTCGATCCTTTTCCAACTTTGAGCGAATCCATTTTATATATTAAACAAACTTTAATAGAAAAATATAAATATTGTCACGCTAGTGAAAATGCACAAACATATATTTGAAGCTCATGAACAAATACAACATTTTTTTGTCTGATCATCTTTTTTATTATCAATATGCAGTCATCAGAGTCCATCAGATTTTGAACAGAAAGGAAAAATCTTGGAAACGTGGGCAGAAAATTAAAGTGTTAAAGGGTGCATGCGCAGGTTGTCACAAGACCACTGTTTATGCAACCATAGAATACTTTTTGCTTGAAGGTTTTGAAGGAGACACGGGTGGTAAGCTTTGTGATTGTAGTGCATATGTAAAACACTTATTTTGACAATCCCTCTTTCATCTCATAGGTATGTAGTTAATCATAGTGGACATTCCAATATAAGCTATTAATATAAAGGGGAAGTAGTCACTGACTTCCGTCAACTTTGTCACATATGATGGGTATTCAGTCATAAGCAAGCAGTGATGAATAATTGTTGCAGTACAAAGTTGTCAATTTTTTTTTTAAAATTAAATATACTTTTTAGTCTTTGAAATTTCGTTAAATTTTTGTTTCTAGTCTTTGAAATTTCGTCAATTTTTGTTGTCTTTGGACAAATTTTTTTCTTCTAATTTTAATCCCTAAATTTTACTAATTTTCACTTTAAGATCTTGAACTTTTTTTTTTCATTAACATTAACATTTTGGTCTTGACATCAAAATTTTTTGTTTATGGAGAAAAAATTCAAAGATTAAAACTACACAAAATTTGTTTAGAGGAAAAAAATTTGACAAAAGTGCTCGACTAAATATATATATATTTTTTAAAAAATTTAAACTATATCGTTTTCGAGCTATCAACATTTATATAGTTCTATAGACAACCAAGGACTAATAAATTTAATAAAAGTAATTAGTAATTAGTCACAAATCATGTCTTGTAATTGTTAAGAAAATACATTTTAAATTTGAATTAGTTTCAATATTATGAAATAGGGTGAATATTCAAATTTCTCTCGAAAAATACTACTGTTTTGTTCCTCAAATATTTAATTACAAATATCGACACTTAAAGTCTATGATTAAGTGGTGGAAGCACTACAATATTCCACCTTTATATTTTTCTCTTCAGGTACTAAGTTGGGCTGATTGAACTCTTTTAAGTATTGATATGGGTGGTTATTTCATCTGAATAATCAGTTAGATGTCAGAGTCTGAATAGATCTACCACTAATGCATAAAACATTAACTTGACTGTAACTTCAAGAAAATCTATAAAATAATTGTAGTTTGCCAATGGGGGTTTGTGAACATGATAGGATTGAAGTCTCATGACGGTGCAATTTATTATGTGAAACAACTTACAGTCCCTTCTTCTGTTGTCTTGCTTTGGTTGGTTTACTTAATGCTCTTTAACCTTAACGTGTATGAGAAATATGTGAAATTGAAGTTTGTTTTTTAATAACCCAAAGTAACTTAATTAGTTTATTACATCTTAAAGTTTTATTTTAAACTGTTGCTCTCCATACCCTCTATACCAAAAATAAAAAGAATAAATAGGAGCCTTTCCACTCTTACCTTGCAAAAACAGAAGGAATTATTTTATTAATTGATGCTTATGTTGTCCCAAAAACTTTGACTTTTAACTTCGCCTTAGAAATTAAGTTTTGATTTGATTTGATATTAAATTAAATGCTGACATCTTTTATTTTCTTTTTAATAGGAGAAGCCCGACTAATATGTAGGTTAGTTGTACATATTCTTGCCAAACTTGGTTTAGATATTTTTGTGGTTAAAAAGTTATTTCTAAAGATTATTATTGCTGTTTGTTTGATTTTAAAGGACACTAGATGTTCCAGATGAGAATGGATGTTTCCTCTCAGTCACGGATAAAAATGCAAGTTTGGACATTCGTGACTCTTTGTCTTTACCTATCAATGTGATTGATTCTGGAAAGGTACAGTGATTATATGTTTTTGTGTTTTTTATTCATTTGAATGAGTTTCTGATTTTAAGCATTTTTAACAGGTACTAGTTGTTGATAGTATTGAATGGAAAAATCAACTTAATAAGAAACAAAAAAAATCTCCTTCAATTGACTTGCTTGTTGCAAACCATAATGAACTTCTGGAGACAGAGGGGGTTAGTATTTTTCCTACCCATAAACTTTTTTTTTCCTCATAAGATATTTATACTTTCAATTACTTCATTACAACTTAGTTAATAAATTATACTTCAAAATTGTCATTTGTTGGGAGTGGAAACATGATTGCTGTGTGCGAACAATGCATAGGCCTAGTGTTGAAATGGAACCTTTTTAAAGTTGAGAAAATTGTAGTCTTAATTTCTCAACATCAAGTTAGCTAAAGTGGGGAGATTTACCCAAGTTATAAATAAGAAGTGTTGAGGTAATATGCCTTATTATTGTGGTATCCTAACAGCATTCCCTTGCGCTCAAAGGTGGACTTATTCCGGTCTCCCTACACTAGGATTAGATAAACTTTGATATCATATTATTAAGAGTGACTTGGTCTAATCCAATCCCAAAGGCTAGTCCAGCAAGATTATCTAAGTCATTCATTACACGAGTGCTTTGTCTTTGTCACTAGGGTAGTCAATTTTTAACATGATTCTTCTGTATGTTATTTTTAATTTTTTAATTTTACATCTCGTGTCACTAAATATCACGTCACTTATGTAGTAACATGTTACTAAACAACTTCAAATTTAACAATTAACAAACATTAAAACTTAGGATAGGATGGAAATTCGGTTTTTTTAAAAATAGGAAACTAAATGTCTCTATTTTAAAATAGATGGACCAAATTGCAGATTGACAAAAATAGAAAGATCAAAAGTACAATTTATCCTAAAATAAATTTCCAAAACTAAAATCATTTTGGTTTGGCTCTTAATTAGGCATTATAGTTAATATCAGGAAAATATATAATTACAAGCATATATTTTATTTTTCTCAATTATAAAGAAAATCTGATATGTAAGAAAATAAGGATATATTTTACCCTTATTTTTTATTTGTACATGTTCTCCTTTAAATAAAAGGACCATTAACATGTAAATAGAAAAATTTAGATTGAGCCTAACTTTTTTCTATTGTAACCACGGTGATATCTGTATAACTAAGAGTGTTTAAAATTGAACCATCCCAAATGAAAATCAACAAACCAATCCAAAAAATTGAAAACTGAAGGTGTGACATCCTTTACCCTACTTGTCATAACACAAATAAATATAAAACTAAATAACATAATCTATTATAAATAAGGCCAAATCGTTCTGGTAGAAAGAATGACATTGTTAACATATCTAAAATGTGGCAAAAATAACTAAAATCATAAAAATTAAAATGAAAGTTTTCAAATTAAACAACACAAGCAAATTCCTAAACTAGTTCTAACTACATCCTAATGTTGCATGTCCTATCAAAGCATAACCAATTATAGAAGTCTAAGTCTTGTCACCAACATCTTCAACCTTATGTTGATGATCATTTGTATAACATAAGAAAAGACAACTAAACAAAAGCAAAGGGAGTGAAAAATATTTCACTTTAGCTCATGATGTAAAAATGAAAACAAATAGTCAAAAACAAACAAACATACATATATACATAGTATAGGTGGATAAGTATCAATAACACACTCCATTCATTCATGACATAATAATTAAATAGCACAACATTATAATGCGCTATGCAATGAATACGAACTACATGTTATCATGCATGTGGCGCTAGTCAAAACAACATAGGGTGCATTGTTGCCAGCAATAAACATAGAGTAGTCTAGGATTTCTTGCTAGGTCATACCCTCAACGCACTTATACTAGGAGGACATACTACTAGGGTTTGGTTGGACAAGATAAGCCGTGTAAGATACATTTCATCCACACAAAGGGCGAGACTAGAACTTCTAAACTAAGTTGTCCCCCATAACTAATCCTTAAGCTTTTACACAAGGGAGCCTTCCTTGGTAGTGTATTCCATATCCTACCCTTGAAAAAACATTTTGTGCACTTGTTGCATGGCAAAAAGACTTATGCCATAACATTCGCATGATCTCACTTCACATGTCACATTTACTTATACATTCATCGGTTATTCCCATTCACAATTACATAACATCATATATATCATAGTTTCCATCCAGGAAGTACATCATAGAACTCAAGAGGGACTCAACTCAATAGAGAATTCGCAGGAGGATGGTGCCAAGTGGCACTTATCCTATGCTTGGTGTGAGTCCTCCATAGGCCAATGTTGGTCTTTGTTTGGACCACATCTAGTGTGATTGAGCTCACGCCCGACCAGAACACAATAGAGAGACCCTTGGAGTGTCCATGTTCGATGTGAGTCAACTCATTCCCACAGAAGTGTCAAAGGGAGTCCCTAGAGCTTCTACACCCGATGAGGGTCGTCTCGTATACGACATGGGTCATCTCATGCTAGGCTTGAGAGGTTCCAAAAGCATACACTACTGTTGGCCACAATGGTGCCTAACATGCCTCAAGTTGCGCCCGACTCCATATCAGGAACAACACACACATAGTAGAAATGCAAGTTACAAACCAAAAGAGTTACACATCCAAATCTCATTTCAATCGGAAAAAGTGTTCTAAAACATGTACTTAACATTCTAAACGATGCAATTTACTTATACAATTACATACATCAATTAATCTCTAAATACAATCATTAAATACATCTCTATAGAGTCCCATAGAAATTCAAAGGCACATCAAAACATACCATTACAAGCCAAATCACGAGATTGGGGAACAATCTTGCTACCCGACATACAAATTCACACCCAGAGCGAAGTTTTTGACTCTCCCATTACCTTGGTGTGCACAAGAAGACAAATTAGTGATTCTGGGTTGGTTCCCTTCTTCTTGTAGTTCTCTAAGCTATGAAGCATAAGAGCATTGAAAATGAAAAAAGAAAAAAAAAAACTTCTCTTTTAAAATCAAAAACCTCTCTTTAACCCTCCTCTAGTTGAAAACACCCAACCAAAGTTACAAATATCCCTTCCCCTTAATAAAGTCAATTAAAACAATTAAATATATAACCATATATTATACACATATTCATATCAAATAATTAAAATAATTATTAAAACATTTCCATTAATTAAAACAAAAATACCAAAATTATTTTGTTATCTATTTATATTTTATTTTATGAAAAATGAGGTGTTACAGATGCAAAATCATAAATCAACAGTTCGGTTCAGTTTTTAAATTTTCAAAACCGCGTGATTTGGTGCAGTTTTTGAATTGAAATGTGAAACCGCTTTAACCAAATCAAATCGTACTTATTTGTAAATATATCCTTTTTTCCAAATGCATAGTATAGATATACAAAATTAACACATGACATAAAAAGTGCTTTATAAAATTGTATGCTACTTAAAGGTTGTTTTTCTCTCTAAAAATATGTTATAATATTTAAAAAGTATTTTATAAAATTGTAAGTTACTAAACTGAGTTTTATAATGAAAATTATGAATTATTTGTAACGTTTGAAAAAAAAATTTAAGTGAAAAACTATATATATATATATATATTAAGAAAAAGCATTTAATAAGATAACTAAAATTGTATTAAAGAAATATTTTTAGTAAAATAGTAAGATAAGAATTGGTATTAAATACATTGAGTGAGTGAAATATTTTAGTATTTATATACTTTATTTTTGATGTACGGTCTTAAATAAATAATATAATATTACATATTTTTAGTTAATTTTTAAATAACAAATTTTAAAAACTACAAAAACTGAACCAAACCAAATTACAAAATATTGATTTGGTTTGATTTGTATTGCTTAATTCATTCAAATCAAATCAAACCAAATTACACTTAATTTTCTTTTTTCATCTTTGAAAGTAGTTTTGCTCTGTTTTACTTTAGTACCATTTCATGTTCATTACAGGCATAAGAAACTAATTACTACATTTCTTTTGTCCTAATTATATGAAACATAGACCCATTTTCAGATGCATTAATCGGTAATTTCCTTTTATAGCTTTAATTTATCAGTGAGACAATCATTCTCCATTAGAGTGGAAACATTCTGGTCTTTTTTTTTTTTTTTTTTTTTTTTTTTTTTTTTTTTTCCGGGTAAAAAAGTGAGTACTATTAACATTATAAGCCACACTTATTTGTCGAAAAATTATTCTTTGAATTATGTGTAGTGTTTAGGGTTTTTATGGGTATTTTTGGCATAAAAATAAATTAATATCATTCTTTATGAATTACTTATTTGTTTCTTACTTTCTTATATAAAGAATCAGAAAGAATATTTAAATTTAGCTGGTGATATACGTCCAAAACAAGTTGTGGTAGTTATTCCGACAATCTACTTTTTACACTTCTATAGAAAAGTTAGGTCAAAATTATATTTGCATGACAAGTCTAGTTATGTGAATGAAATTAAAATTTAAGAATGTAGATCAAAATGTATAAAAATCCATTCTTTCAGATTCTGTGTTGCCCTAATATTGTTTTTTCCACTGGGAGATTGACTTGAGTCCCACATTGGAAGTATGGAATTCTAGTGTGGGCTTTATAATGTCATAGAACTCTCCAACTACAACAACAAGCTTTTGTGTGGTGGTTCTCAATAAGCTTTATAATTGTTACACATTTTTATATTTAGTTGTGTTGTTGATACAACAACTGATACAGCATTTTATATAACAATTTTTGTCATTTTCTCTCTAATGCATCACTAATTACATTTCACACTTCTCTCTCTTGTCTGTCTTTGTCTCTCTATGTTGTTCAATTTGTTGTACAAATAACATTTCTCTTTTATATTATTTACTATTTGTGAGATGACACAAAGTTGTAATATATTTGATGGTCTTTTCTTCACTGTTTGTTACTATTTCTTTGAAGTGTAATGCTATATTAGTTTTGTAATCTTGTCTGGTAGCTGGACCCAAGCTATAAAAGTTTTGAGAAAAAGGTTATTGTGAAATCTTCTCATCCTGTTGGGAAGTGTAGACTTCTAACCGGCGACCAAAGTCTACAGCTGGATGTGAGGTATGTTTGCTTTACCTATATTGGTTTATAAATGAATTCCCTCTTAATGACAATGACCAACATTTAACATGTCTTTGTTTAACAAAGTGCGAAAATATAGATTATATTTCTCTGAATAATACTTGATACAGTGAGACGTATAAATGGTAATTTGTATGCTATTCTAGCCTTGAAAATCAGGGGAATAATTTTTCTTATAAATGTTATAACTAAATAAGGAAGGTAAATAGGAACAATCCCTTTATGATTTTTCAGTTGTGTACTGCTCGCATTGCTATTTTTCTTCTTGGAATATTGCATAGTTTAGATTGTTGCATATTTATTGATGATCAAGCTTATGTTTTACTTTGGTATGTTCTTGTTATCATGATTTGTTGAACAGGGTTGGTTCTACTTTTCCAACCTTGTGCATCGCATATTATGATATCTATGATAATCAAGCACCTTTTCAATCAATTCCGGATGTAACTGTCAAACTTACGACTGCTGCGGGAATGCACTTTGAAGTACATGGGTTGAAGATTAGTCTTTCAACTGATAGAATGACTTTAAAAATTAAGGTTTGCTGATTATGTACTTCATAGTTCTCACTGAACAAGAAAAAAATCTGATGCATTATTTTTGAATACTTCATATAGGATGCAATGGTCACAAGTAATGAACTTGACAAGTTAAGGCCAAGCTATGAGGTTACACTCACATTGTTTATTGATTCAGGAAACATTCCATTTTCACTCTCCATTCCATGTCGAGGTGCTCATGGTTGATCATGTTTTTATTCATTACGAAATGATCTTGTTTTCAGAGATGCTTTCTTATCACTGCTTTATGTTTCTTATTTTCAGTTCATCCAGGTTTTCCCAACTGTGCTGAACTCAAGCCTAAAATAACAGAAGATCAACTCATTCCAGGTTTCATTTTCAAGGAGCTAATGTTGGAGGTATCTTTGAACCTTTAACATTGAGAGATTTTTTTTGACTTATATGTTTTTTCATTCTTCTTTGGGTGCTGCACCCAAGGGTCAATGAGCATTATTATCAGAGGCTAAAGTGAAATTTTTTCTAAATTTCCAAGAGATGATGGATTATGATACAATTGTTGTGTATACTCGAAATGTTTCAAGTAGCTAGGTGTTGGAAATAGAGCAAGAGATATGGGAAAATTTATGGCATTCATAATCTAGTGATAGTCATCATAAAGAAACATAAATTCCTAACCAACAAAAGGATTAAATGGCAATGGCGATGGCAAAACTCAAAGGAGGAAGCGTGCGGAGGGAGAATCTATCACGCGCGGAGGAAGAACCAGGATGAAGAAAGTCTCGTACGAGGTAGCGGTGGCGCGCTCAGAGGTGACAGTGGCGCGTGCAGAGGTGACGGTGGCTCGCGGGGAGGTTAGGGTGGCGTGCGCGGAGGTTAGGGTGGCACGACAATGGTGCACACGCAGGGGTAGAAGAAAGTCACGTTGTTGTACATGATGGTGGAGGCCGCGTCAGAGGCAATGGTGGCAGGCGGAGGCAACGATGGCAGGGGGTCTTGTCAGAGCAGCCGCGGGTTGCACGGAAGAGAGGCTATTATGTATTAGGGTTTCTGCAACCCTATTTTATGCGTTGGGTGCCCAACCCGGGAAAGAAACCCGGGCCCAAACCGAAAAAGAAAAAAAAATGGCCCAAATCAGAAAAAACAAAAAAAAAATGGCCCAAAATAGCGCCATGTCCGCCATTCACGCCATGGCCCGCCATGTCTACACTGCCATAACGGCCGTAACGGCCGCCATCTTCAAAATGGCGGGTCCCCACCATAGACAACCTAAACGGCCATAACGGATCGCGGCCGCCGTCGCCATACCGTTATGGCGCCGCCATAACGGTTATTTAACAACACTGTAATAGAGTGATTATAATATACGAATTCTTTCCAATATTATCTAAGGGGGGTGTATTGGATTAGGATTTTAAAGGACTTTTTTAGTTATCTTTTGGAAGATTAGGATTAGAATTTTCATTGAAGTAATTGACATTGCTGTGTGGGATGCAATAGAAAATGGACCCTACATCGCTATGACCAAAGATGACGATGGGAAGAGAGAAAAACATTGGAGTGAGTGGAGTAATGATGAGAGAAAAAGAGCCCAATATGACTAAAAAGCAAAGAACATCATGACATCTGCATTGTTTATTGATGAATTTTTTAGAATTTCTCAATGCAAATTTGCTAAAGAAATGTGGGACACTTTGCAAGTCACTCATGATGGAACAAGCGATGTAAAGAGATATAGAAAGCATACTCTCATAAGAGAATATGAATTGTTGAGAATGAACAATGGTGAATTAATTTCTGATTTTCAAAAGAGATTTACACACTTGAAAAATCACCTTGTTGATCTTGGCAGGAAATTTGAAGAAGAAGAACTAAATCTGAAAGTGCTGCAATGCTTGGACAGATCATGGCAAGCAAAGGTTACTGCCATAGAAGAATCAAAGGACTTAACTTCATTGACTCTTGCTACTTTCTTTGGAAAGCTGAGAGAGCATGAGCAAAAGCTGCAAATATTTGAGGAAAATGAACAGCAGGACAAAAAGGGCAAGGGAGTGTCACTAAGAGCCTTGAAATCAGTCAAAGGCAAAGAAGTGTGTGAAGAATCAAGCTCTGAAGATTCTGAAACAGAGAACTTCAACTTGCTGGTGAAGAAGTTCAGAAAATTCTTATGGAAGAAGAGGAATTCCCCCTACAAGTTCAATAAGAAGACTAACAAGAAAGAGGAAGCAAGTACATCCTCCTACAATTATTTTGAGTGTGGGAAACCGGGACACATAAAAGCTGAATGTCTGATGAGTCATTATTTTACCTTATTTTCTTACCTTTCTGTACTTATTTTAATCTCTGATTTGTGCTTAATTATTTATATTCTACACTGTTTTCTATTTAGGCTTTAATTGGACTGATAATTCATATTTCAACTAATTTGAATTTTCGGAATCTAATTATTCCAATTTTTATTTTCAGGGCAATTTAATAATTATTTAGGCTTGAAATTAATTTTTGGACTTAAAGAGGAGCTGCCACGTCATCTGCCATGTCACTGCTGCAACATTTTCCACCTCAGCATTTAATTTCATTTTATATTCTATTTTATTGTAGTTTGGGTCAGACTTGTATTATTGGGGGGCCATTAGTTATTGGATTCATTCTTCATTAACAAGTCTTTAAGGAACTTCTTTGAAAATTCATATTAGAAAAGTTTGAATTGAAATAAAGATCCTAAGAACTCTGAAATTTTTTTAAAGTGTTATAGAATCCAATTCACCCCCTCTTGGATTGAGCCATTCTTTTCTAACAATTAGTATCTAGAGCAAGGTTCTTGAGTGTTATTCAAGATTTCAAAAATGGTCAACAACAACCTACCTTGTGTTGAGGGTGTGTCTATTCATAGACCTCCTGTTTTCAATGGTAAAAACTATGTCTTTTGGAAGATTAGGATTAGAATTTTCATTGAAGTAATTGACATTGCTGTGTGGGATGCAATAGAAAATGGACCCTACATCGCTATGACCAAAGATGACGATGGGAAGAGAGAAAAACATTGGAGTGAGTGGAGTAATGATGAGAGAAAAAGAGCCCAATATGACTATAAAGCAAAGAACATCATGACATCTGCATTGTTTATTGATGAATTTTTTAGAATTTCTCAATGCAAATTTGCTAAAGAAATGTGGGACACTTTGCAAGTCACTCATGATGGAACAAGCGATGTAAAGAGATATAGAAAGCATACTCTCATAAGAGAATATGAATTTTTTAGAATTTCTCAATGCAAATTTGCTAAAGAAATGTGGGACACTTTGCAAGTCACTCATGATGGAACAAGCGATGTAAAGAGATATAGAAAGCATACTCTCATAACTTTTAAAATCCTACGAAATCCTAAACCAATACACCCCGCTAAATTTCTATGCAAAATCTATCACTAATTAAGATAGTAAGACAAAGAGAAAGTGATCAGTCAAGCAAAACTAAATCTTCTGTTTATAGACTTTAAGTTAGATGAGTGTACAGTCATTGGATAGGAAGATAAGCTCAAGTTAGATGTAAGGTCATCCAAAGGCCCAAGATGGTGTGTGTTATGTTTTTGGGTTCTATCAAACTATCAGTTGAAGATATGAAGCATGTTTGACGATGTACGTAGCGATGTTGAATGTGTGTGCTTCCCTAGTTAACATGATTCACATTGTAGACCTGGGATAAAAAAAACCAAACTTATATCTTGGATAAAATTTATGATGGATTTTAAATGAATGCCTACTTAATAGTATCTATATTTGTGTGTAATCGCATTTTAAAATATTAAAATTACTTTTAAATATGTATAGTAAGTTGGTTTAATTTTACTTTTTCACCATAGATGTATTATAATTATTTATTTTTACAATAAATGTGTCATAGTTATATATTTTTAATACAAATAACTGTTACAAAATTATTTTTAATATAAATGATTTAAAATTAATTATTTTATTTCTTTTTATTTTATTTAAAATTTAATATTCTAACAAATATCTAAATCTACATGTATGAGATAGGTTAATATATATTCTCATTTCATCATTCAATACACATGATTAGAGAGTATCTTTCTTTCCCCTTAATAAGATATTATTAGTATATATATCGATACCATTTACAACTCCCATCTCATGTTATGTTGTCTGATATTCCAGAATCGACTATCCATGGCTCTGATGTGCAAACATATTAGTGTTCATGTGCAGCTGATTGAGATGCTTGGGACGTAGAAATTTGACCAAATAATTTGATTAATTTCAGCATTTCCTCAAGTTGCTCTTTGGTGGGCTTGCCATATTTGGTCATGATAATGAGAGGATAGGGATTTTGTGAATTAGGGTTTCAGAGAGTCGGCTCTTGATACCATGTAGAATAATGGCATTCATTCTCATTACAAAAATAAGAGGAATTACAGTCTTATTTATACTGAATATGGCTGGATTTCCATCCATGACCCTAGGCAGATATCCCATAAATCCAGGATTTCTGCTTCTATTAAGTCAGGAAATTATACTAAATATAGATGGATTTACAGACATGATCGGAGGCCGTAATCCCATGATATGAGGGATTTCTGCTTCTAATAAATCAGGAAAATCCATTCCCATTTATAACTTATAAGAAAATTGAATACAGAAAATAACCTAAAGTGTCATAATTGTTGCAAACTTGCAATAAGATTGACTTCTTTTATACAGTGTGGGTTTATGAATTGAATTCTTTTTCTCAAATCAGTACATATCATCTTCTTCCTCCTAACAAGCTACTAATTGTTTAAGTATAACAATTTTCTTGGTTTAAATGATTTAATCATTAATGCATTATTGTCATTTTCTGTTTAATATTTAATTATTATGTATTCATGAAAGCAATCCAGAGAATCTTAATTTCATCCTTTGAATGAAATTGTTCATTTGTTCATCTCTTCGAAATGTTATCTAGAAGGTATTGGTCATTGTAAGTCTAATATTTTATCACTGTATGTACTATTTTATGACTTAGTTTTTAATGTCTTGTTGGGAATTGCATGATGGTAACACCTGACTTATTTTCTTGAATGTATGTCACCCAGATGTTTGATACATATGGGAACCATGTCTTTAAAGGCTTGGAGGTTACTTTAGCTGTGGCTGGATTCAGCATACTAGATGACCTCGGCATGACACGCAAGGTATTGCTTTCTTCAATACTTTGGTATGTGATGCAGGTATCAATGAAGGACTTTTTTTTCTTTTGCGAAATATATGTTGTATTAAAATAAAAATTTAATTGATATGTATATTAATATTAGAAAAAATCCAAGTCCCACATCGATTAGAGATTAACAATTAAATAATATATAAGTAGAAAGCAACCCTCCCTTTACAAGCCGGTTTTGTAGGGTTGAGTTAGACTTAATCCACTATTCTAAGATGGTATCAGAACTATCCTAGATTCTTAAAAATGGGCTACCTACCATTCATTGATACATGCACCACGGACATGAGGGGGTGTATTCAAGTCCCGCCAATCTTAGATCATTAAAAAGGGCCACCTACCATTTATCCACGTACCAAGCCCAATATTGCTGGACGTGAGAGGGGTGTATTGGGAAAAATTCAAGTCCCACATCGACTAGAGATTAGGCAATTAAATAGTATATAAGTGGAAAGCAACCCTCACCTTACAAGCCGGTTTTGTAGGGTTGAGTTAAGTTTAATCCACTATTCTAAGAATTAAGGTTCAACATGGTGTTTACGGTTTTACTGGACTATAAATAAACATATAAGATGCCCTTTATTCCCCCATATTTTGTATTTTGAACTATATAAAGGCTACTATAATTTATTTGGTAGTATAGATCAGATGAGTTTTGCTTCGATTTAAATTTATACAACATTGATTGCCATGTGACAATTCTGATAAAGGTGGATGATCAAGGAAGAATTGATCTTGGCGGTCTACTGAAGTTAACAGCAAATTATGGAAAAAATGGTATGCTGCTTGTTGTAGACACATGATGTTAGAAATATCTAGTCTAATATTTAGATTCAATTTCTGATACTACTCAAAATTTTCTGCCCAAGTTACTGATCGTTATTCTCTTAAACTTCGATGAATAGTAAATTATGCAAATTTACTTTAAAGTTGCAAGTTGGAACACTATCTTTTTTCCTCGGGTTCTAATTTATTTCTCGATGGAGCAGCATCCATATCTGTTATGTTTGAAGATCAAACAATTTTCAAGCAGGAATTTTCAACTTTGAGAAGGAAATTGAGAATAGCATCTGAGGTTAGTTCTTTAAAATGTACATAAAAATGTGAAAATGGTTTATCGGCTTGTATTTATTTACGTGTTTATGCTATGATTGATATCAGGTGCCTGAATTTTGTGTTGCTGGTGGTCACTTAGAAAGCATCGATTTTGAAATTGTAAATCCTGATGATGATGTAGTAGATACAAAGTTTCATCACAATGATCAAGATGGCCAGTATCATATGCTTACCATTAAGTCAGACCTTTTCAATGCAGATGAATCTATTCGGTATACTTTTAAGCACGGACGCTGTACTGTCCCTTCTATTTATATCCCAGTGGATGATGGGACATTTTGCTTTGATGTTGCTCATTCACAATATATGGAGTTAAGCCTTTCTGTTGAGGTAGGATCATTTTTTTAATTACTAAAAATCGGCCTTGCTATGAATCATAATTTGATAGGAAATGTGTGCAGGTTCCTGTAATCAAAATACCAACAGTGAAATATGTTGATCAAGCTCCATGCACGGATAAGAGTGTTATGGACTTGCTGGAACCACCATCACTTAATCACGAAAATATCTTAACGAAGTTCTTTGTAAATGATTATGACAAGGTAACAGTCATGCATTCTGTTTTCTTCTCAACTGTAAATGGTTGAATGACAACATGGATGTATATGTATATTTGATCCAGCTTAAAAATTCATAATAACAACAATTTTGTTTACAGATTTTTCTATAACGCTAAAATATTAGGCGATTGCATGAGTTATTAAAATGCTTCCTTCTCGTAACGGTTTATAAAGTATGAATGCAAGTCAACTGGTTGTCTTTATTCATCAGAAATGGAAATTCCTGTTGTCACTATTAATGTCTTGATGTGCTTCAATGCAGGAGCTATTTGATTGCATCTGCAAACTTGGTGAGAAAATTAATAAAGTAGAAATTCATCTTAATAATTCAAGTGAGCTAAAGGCTGAAGCTGAGCAGGAGATAATGAAGATGCTAGGTTGTGACTCTTTCTCTTTATCCATCTTAGAAACATACGCCCAACATTTTAGGCTATAACATTTTAGAAAATGTGCTCTACATGATTAAATAACCTTGTAGTTAGTAAGTGCGGTTTCAATAAATTTAGGCAAAATGTCAGCTTATCTAATTCATAAAAATACATTTGGTTTGGATTGATTTGAATTCGGTATTAAATCTTATCCAATTCAACTAAAAGTGATTTAAGTAAAAATGTTTTATATGATTCCGATTTTTTATCTGTTTTTTAAAATTGAGTTTGAAGTCGTTAAATAAATCTTATTATATTATCTCCCCTCTTTATATTATTAATTTTTGGTATAACACAAACTTATAAAATAGAAAATGATACACGGGAGAAACTTCAAAGTAAACCCAAACTAATAAACTTATAAATAGATTAAAATAATTAGATTTATTACAATTTTACAAGTATATAATTATATAGATATGAGGGAGAGGTTCATTTTCAAAGTTGGATCCTAAATACAATCTTATCCCTTAAAATTTTGTTTTCAATTTGTCCAGTTTCCACTTTTTGCAGTTTGCATTGGGTTAGATTGATTTAGGATCATCCCTAGTAGCAAGAAATAAATGTTTTTAGTTGCTTTGTTATTATTATTTTTAGTTTTAGCTATTATCAGGTTAATATACGACAGAAAGTGCTTGGGATAATACTCATTGAATAATTTTTTTGAATTTGATGTTTATCGTCTTGTAAGTTATCTGTTGGTTGTGTGTGTTTATGAATATTAGCATTGTATGCCTTTTTCTGTCTTGTAGTTATCTCATGAGTGCATGTTTTTTATGCCTTTTTGTTTTGTGCTGTATCTGTTGCTGCAAGTATGCATTTATAAATGAGAGAATAAGCACATTAAATTAAATAACTGATCAAATGATGGAACTTACCTTGCTGGTGTTTTATGTTGTCAATGACTTAAATTGCGCAGAGAATGTTCAACCTTATCAATTAAGCAATATGGACTCTTCATTTACCAAAGACGAACTGAAGACAAAAATTAGAAGCATGGAAAACTCGGCATTTTCTGTGTTGTGTAGCCTTTCTACACATAAAATGCAACCGAAGTATTTCTTGGAAGATTTAATTGGTGTCGTTGCCCTCGTCGGTACCGTTCAGAGTCCTGACCTTAGCAGGTTGATTAATGGCATCCCAAAGAAAAAACGAATAACTCTGTCATTTCAGTATTGCTGATAAAGAATAACATTTTCTTATACCTGTTTTACTTATGAATTATGATTGTGTTTATATCAAGTTATATGCAGAATCTTAGCGGAATATCTTGGTGAAGACAAAATGCTGGCTATTATTTATAGATCTTTTGATACTGCAAGTTCCCTTGAAAGGTATAACCAAAGTGGAGAAATTGATTATGAGCGTGCCTTACATGCTCAAGCCTCTGCTCTTGGAAAAGTTATTAGCAAGCGTTTCCATGTTATATGCATGGAAGATATAAGGTAATCCGTAATTCATTGCATAAGAGTCCTAGGGCCAAGAGTCTGTTTGGATATAGTTTATAAGGATTTTTGAGAGTTTTTCTAATTGTTTTCTAATAAAAAGGCTTGTAAAAGTCTTTCTAGACTTATCCAAACATACACCCAAGACCCTTGTGATTAGGTGCTTTTTATTTAATTTTTTTAAAAAGAAATAATTCATGTGAATTGGTTTGATAGGCCTTACACTGGGCGGTTGCATATGAATGATTCTCAGAGAAGGCTAGGATTGGCATATCCTAGAATGCCAAATGGGGTAACTCCAAAAGGCTTTATAGGTTATGCTGTTAACATGATTGACCTCGACATAAATTACTTGCATACAACGACAGCTTCAGGTCACGGACTACGAGAGACAGTTCTGTTTAATCTTTTCAAGAAGCTCCAGGTTTACGACAAAAGAGAGAGTATGGTGGCTGCTCGTGCCTGTATAGAGGATGATGCTGTTTCGTTAGATGGTGGTATTTTTAGAGGAAATGGAATTCTCTCTCTCGGTTATGGGTCTCTCTCTTTCATGAATATTATTACTGCATCCCATCTACTTTAATTTTGCTAGCATTTTTGCGTGGAGCTCTTCGGAACATATATTTACTGCCTAGCAAGTCAATTTCCTGTGCTCACAAATTATAGTTTTTTATAACTTTTTTTTATAAATTATATTCAAAATAAAGTTTGGAGTAATACTACATGTACAGCCAAAATTGTACATGTAAATTATTATTTTTTGTATTTATCTCTTTCAGTCACTTTATTTATTATGGAAAGAAATATTATTAATGATGGTAAGAAATAACCACAAAAATAATGTAATATAAGTTATATAATTTCTGTTGTATATATAGTATTACTCATCTAAAAGTACTGATTAATCTTTAGTTACTATTTTTAGTAGTCGTAGATAATGTTTATGACCCATCAATGGTTCTCAGTTATTTCGCCAATTACCATTTGGCAGAACCTTTCCATTGAAATTTAACTTGTTCGTTGAAGGTATTAACACAATTCCACTCTATAATATTATAGTATTTTTATTAAAGTATATTAAATAATTGAATGCTTAAAATCTCGTCTAGTGAATATTTCATTAATGTTTTTGGAGGATTGGGCTTGAAATAGACATAAGAGAACATCCTTAAAATGTCATACTTCTTTTAATTATGTTTTATTTGTAAGATAAATTGTGATTTTGAATTTGAGTAGAAGTAATTCCTAACTCTTTCATTTTTATAGGAATCCTATTATATATTTTCCCTGCCAGAACCAGACAGTACTCCCTCGAGAAATTGAAGAAATCTTGAGACAGATTGAAGAGAAGAAGTCAGATCTAAGGAGTATTGATGAAAAAATTAGAGAACTGATCAAATATCGTGAGAAGTGTATAAAAAAATTTAAGAAAAAAAAGGAGAGATATGACAAGTATTTGGACAAAATGGTGCCCATGGAAGAACTACTGGAATATAGACCTGAGGCAGGGGACGGATCAAATACATCTGATAGGCTTAGTTGATCCATGTTTTCAACATTTTTTCTTTTATCATAGAGAAGCATATTGTATACCTTTGGCTTTTGATAATTCAGTTACCCATGCCCGGCTATGCCTAGAATAAAATAGTTAATATAAGATTATGGAACATGTTTCTGTTTATAATATTTTAATCTTAATAGCTTTTTCGTTTTTCATTATAAATAAATTTTTTTAAACTTATTAGTTCTTTATTTGTGATACCTCATGTAATTGATTTACCATAATTGTTTAGCTTATTTCTTATCATGTTAAAAAAAACTTATTCTCTATATGCATAGAGATTCACGTGTTGACAATGATAGAAACAAATACATTTTGATGGCACCCTTGCTTCATTGAAGAAGAGATGATGAACAATAGTAAGGGATGCTTTGAAACTCCTTGGATCAAGTCCTTCAAGGGCGTCTTTAATGGAGGAAGGGGCAGAAATGAAAGTTGTGGGTAAGATGTTTGATGAAATGATTGAGAGGTGCACTCTAGGGTTGACTCACTTTATAGTGATGAAGGTCATTTCTAGGGTGGTTTCTCTCAAGGTGGAGATGGTAGGGTGGTGGTCGAATTAGCCAAGGGGGGCTAAGGAATGATATAAAGGCCCCAAGGCTCTCTCTATATTCAACATTCAAAGTATTTACAAGGAGTGGTGCCTAGGGTATTTATAAGTGTGGGGTGACATCACAAACCTTAGGGAAGGTGGTGGCTAGGTTATCATTGGATAAATGGGAAGGAAATGCACATCAAATGACATACAAATTAACCCTAGGTGCCGCCCACCTTCACTAAAAATGGGATCTTTTTGGGTTAAGCTTGGCTACTTCTAGGTGCATGATAGGAGAATGCAACCCAGGTGCCCTTTCACTTGGGCCAATGCTCTTCTTAGCCCAAAAGATCCATTTTTGTCATGCCCAAACACTCACATTACCTAGAAAATAAAGCCCTAATTTTTAAGTGCCCCAAAATACAAGGGTAAAATATGAAATACAAAGAAAAATATGAGTCCTAAGCACCCTAAAATACAAGGGTAAAATAAACCCTATACTAATGAGACATAGGAGAGTATTTAGTACTCTATGATCATGAGGAGGCTATTCTTTGGTGGGTGAACTCCCTCCCCTTCTTTTACTCTCCTAGTCACGGACCTTGTGTTAGGGCCCATATGGTTCTTCAAGGATGGTCCTCCATCATCCCCTCTTTCTTGAGAAGCATCTATTCTCAGATTAAGATCTTCATCATATCCTCAACTCTTAGAAATGGTGTGAGATCACATACATTAAAAGATGAACTAATGCCATACTCAAAAAGAAGATCTAATTTATATGCATTGTCATTTATTTTGTGAAGGACTTGGAATGGTCCATCTCCCTTAGGGTTTAGTTTTGACATTCTTTGAGTGGAAAATCTATCTTTCCTCAAATGAAGCCAAACCCAATCCCCAACCTCAAAGGTGATTTTTTTTCTTCCTTTGTTGATGTATTTGACATATTTTTGTGTTTGATTTTCAATTTGGCTCTTGATCTTCTCATGATATTTCTTAATAAAATTCGCCTAGATACACCTTTGTGAAACAAGGAAGGAGTATTAGGAAGGGGAAGTAGATCAAGAGGGGTTATTGGGTTAAAGCCATATACAAACTCAAAGGGTGAAAGATTAGTAGTCTTTTGAACTACTCTATTGTATGCAAATTCTAGGTATGGGAGACAATCATCCCAAGTTTTCTTATTCCCTTTTAGGAGTACCCTTAACAAGGTGGATAGGAACCTATTTACTACTTCAATTTGACCATCGGTTTGGGGATGACAAGTAGTAGAATAGAGGAGCTTTGTTACTAGTTTTTCCCATAGTACTTTCCAAAAGTGACTAAGGATCTTAGCATGAAAGCGGACAACTTCCTTAAAAAAAAGTTTAGCTATATAGCTAGCATCATCCACTTTGTGGCATGGTATGAAATAAGACATTTTTCTAAAATGGTCCACTACCACAAAGATAGAGTCAAATCCTCTGAGTCCTTGGAAGTCCAAGCACAAAGTCCATACTAATATCTACCTAAGGGGAGCTAGCTATAGGAAGGGGGTATAGAGTCCATGAGAATTACTCTTGATTTAGCTTTTAGACAAGTAATATGTTGAGATTCAAGGAGTGGTCAATCAACTCAAATCTGGAGAATGAAGGTTTTGCTGATAACAAAGTGTTGATTCTAAGAATCAAGATTGACCAAGGACATTAACAAGTCAAAAACAAAGTCAAGAAGAAAATATGGCTATTATGATGTGTAATAGGAGTAGCTCATAAGTTGTATTGTTTGTTGAGCTTATTTTTTCATGTGTGTGCTTTGTGCATAGGTTAATATTTATCTAATCTGATTAAGAGTGAGCATGATGATGAGTTAGAAACTTGAAAAGTTATTTTGAGACATAAAATAGTTTTGAAAATTGACTCAAAATAATCGATTATCATTAAATATAATCAATTATTCAAGCAACAGGTAAAAATGATGCCTTGCTGTAATAATCGATTATTTGTGAAATAATCGATTAAACTGTTCTTGGTTGATTTTCAGATATCATGAAGAACAAAATAATCGATTATCCTTTAAAATAATCGATTATCTGGTTCTGAAAATGTTATAAATAGCTTTCACATTTTGAAACTTAAAAAACAAGATAGAACACAGAGTCAAAAAGAGAAAAACGTTATTGTGAAGTCTTTGTGACCTTCTTGGAGTGTTTTCTTTGTGAAACCAAGAAGTAAAATGTTTTTGAAATGCTTTGAGAAAAGATCATCATCATCTTCACATTCTTGAAAAGAGAAAGATTAAGATTTGCTTCTGAGTTCACTATCTGATTTGTTCAGCTTCCAAGTGAATTCGTTCCTTTAATTCTTTATTGTAAATCTTGAGTAGGTGTCTCAAGTGGTAAGGAATTCTTGTAGTGGGTTTCTACTAGGGGTGCTTTCTTGGGGTCAAGAAAGTGGTTATCTTGAATGTAGGAGTGTATGCATGTGTGGTATGCTTGTAAAACTTCTTTATTAAGATAGTGGAACAAATCTTGATCAGGTTATGATTGAGGACTGGATGTAAGTCACATGTGGAGTGGCTGAACCAAGATAAAAGACTTGTGCAATCTTCTTTTACCCTTATCTTTTACTTTGAGCGATATCTTGGTTGTGTGTTAAAGAGATTATTCTTGATTAACATGTTTGTATGCACAACATTGCTTTAAACTGAATCAAAGTGTTGCATACTGATTGCTCTTAACTTTGAAGTTTATTAAGAATTAATCAAGAAAGCATATAGGACTTATTTTCATTAACAAGTCTTTAAGGAACTTCTTTGAAAATTCATATTAGAAAAGTTTGAATTGAAATAAAGATCCTAAGAACTCTGAAATTTTTTTAAAGTGTTATAGAATCCAATTCACCCCCTCTTGGATTGAGCCATTCTTTTCTAACAATTAGTATCTAGAGCAAGGTTCTTGAGTGTTATTCAAGATTTCAAAAATGGTCAACAACAACCTACCTTGTGTTGAGGGTGTGTCTATTCATAGACCTCCTGTTTTCAATGGTAAAAACTATGTCTTTTGGAAGATTAGGATTAGAATTTTCATTGAAGTAATTGACATTGCTGTGTGGGATGCAATAGAAAATGGACCCTACATCGCTATGACCAAAGATGACGATGGGAAGAGAGAAAAACATTGGAGTGAGTGGAGTAATGATGAGAGAAAAAGAGCCCAATATGACTATAAAGCAAAGAACATCATGACATCTGCATTGTTTATTGATGAATTTTTTAGAATTTCTCAATGCAAATTTGCTAAAGAAATGTGGGACACTTTGCAAGTCACTCATGATGGAACAAGCGATGTAAAGAGATATAGAAAGCATACTCTCATAAGAGAATATGAATTGTTGAGAATGAACAATGGTGAATTAATTTCTGATTTTCAAAAGAGATTTACACACTTGAAAAATCACCTTGTTGATCTTGGCAGGAAATTTGAAGAAGAAGAACTAAATCTGAAAGTGCTGCAATGCTTGGACAGATCATGGCAAGCAAAGGTTACTGCCATAGAAGAATCAAAGGACTTAACTTCATTGACTCTTGCTACTTTCTTTGGAAAGCTGAGAGAGCATGAGCAAAAGCTGCAAATATTTGAGGAAAATGAACAGCAGGACAAAAAGGGCAAGGGAGTGTCACTAAGAGCCTTGAAATCAGTCAAAGGCAAAGAAGTGTGTGAAGAATCAAGCTCTGAAGATTCTGAAACAGAGAACTTCAACTTGCTGGTGAAGAAGTTCAGAAAATTCTTATGGAAGAAGAGGAATTCCCCCTACAAGTTCAATAAGAAGACTAACAAGAAAGAGGAAGCAAGTACATCCTCCTACAATTATTTTGAGTGTGGGAAACCGGGACACATAAAAGCTGAATGTCTGATGAGTCATTATTTTACCTTATTTTCTTACCTTTCTGTACTTATTTTAATCTCTGATTTGTGCTTAATTATTTATATTCTACACTGTTTTCTATTTAGGCTTTAATTGGACTGATAATTCATATTTCAACTAATTTGAATTTTCGGAATCTAATTATTCCAATTTTTATTTTCAGGGCAATTTAATAATCCTTTAGGCTTGAAATTAATTTTTGGACTTAAAGGGGAGCTGCCACGTCATCTGCCATGTCACTGCTGCAACATTTTCCACCTCAGCATTTAATTTCATTTTATATTCTATTTTATTGTAGTTTGGGTCAGACTTGTATTATTGGGGGGCCATTAGTTATTCTAGGTCAAACTTAACCTAGTGATTGTTGTCATGCAAGGGGGCAGCCACCATTATGTGTGATTCATATTTTCGTTTTGTGTTTCAGCCTAGTTTCTTTTTCTCTGGTTTTTCTTCTTCTTCCTTGTGAGACAGAATCATTCATCTATACAGTTTCATTTCATCTTCATTGCTCTATTTTAATTTACGTTCTTATTGTTCTTGTGCATGTTTGTTTTTCTTTTCTGAGTTGATTACTGTTCCATTCGTATTCATTTTCTGCCCTTCATTTTTTGTTTTTCCAGTTTTCCCATTTTGCTACCATTTTCATTTTGCACTATTCCATTCGTTTTGATGTTTAGCATTATGT